TACTTCAGTACTTCAGTGAAAAAGTCCATTTAATAGACAATATCTGTTGTTTAGTCGCCAAGTTGTGTCTGACTCTCTTGTGACCCCACAGACTATAGCCCTCCAGGTTCCTCTGTCCATGGGATTTCCCAGGCAAGAATACTGGAGTGGGCTGCCATTTCCTACTCCAGGGGATCATCCTGACTGAGGGATGGAACCCACGTCTCCTGCATCTCCTGCATCAGCAGGAAGATTCTTTACCACTGCACCGCCACCTGGGAAGGGGAATCCAAGATCACCAGCTGCTTTAAAAAAGAAAAATATAGCAAGACATCAAATCCAAGCACTCTGACTCCTCAACCCACATCCACACTTCACTGCCCACCTTACATAAGCATATTCATCAGCACAGAGCCAATATCACATAGGTATAGAACTACTATTTACTGAGCACCTATCATGCCAAGCACCTGGCATTGGAGATGAAAGAACCACCACCATAACAAAAAAATCTGGCCCTTAGCTGAAGGACACTTTTTTATTCTTTAAAGCAGATTCAGGGGAGGTCGGAAAAAGTAACCAGAAACAGTATGCTTTCATGCTCAGGTAAATGGGTCATCCCACGTCTCAGGGGAACACCATGCAAAGGAGAACTAACTTAAATAACCATGTCAGCCTTAAGCACCAAGCCTGTTTATTTTAAATAACTGTCATACACTGATCTGGAATAGGAGCATAGAAGACAACATATGAACCTTTTCTTGATGGTTTCTGGTCATCACTGGGAAGACCAAGAGCACTGCAATAATGTAACAGTGTTTTAAGAACTAGGGACTGTTTGACCCTACTTAAAAATTTTTTTTTACTTAGTTACATCCCTCTCCCAGATCTTACTGCACAAGGTTACTCCTATCTCTGGCTAGCACGCCCTCTCCTAATCTGACATAATATACAGTTATTTGGCTTCTGTTTGCGGTCTCTTCAGTGTCTAATTTCCGCCCTGATACAGCTGGGTGGAGGTGGTCTCTTATTTAGGTTCTCTTGTTCAGTCAGGCTCCTTTCGAAGACGCTGGGCTGCTTTTCTGGGCACCTGATGTCCTCTGCTAGCGGTCAGAAGTTGTTTTGTGAAGTTTGCTCAGCGTTCAAATGTTCTTTCGATGAATTTGTAGGGGAGAAAGTGGTCTCCCCGTCCTATTCCTCCGCCATCTTAGCTCCTCCCCCTCCATAATATACAGTTAATTAGTAACCAGAAGTTACTACTTGAAATCTAACTTTAAATTGTCAGGGAGGGTCCCTTCTCCAGAGGAAAGTACTTGGATTTACTGTTTTCTTTGATGTGCATTTAGCTACAACAAAAAAGGAGCTAATTATAAAAACAAATTCTGTGAATTTCAAAATTTTACTCATGGCAACCGTGGGAAGAAAAAGAGGTCAAATCTCTTAAACAGAAACCGTTAATGATAACAAAAGCTAATCGTGAATAAGCGGTACCTACTATGTGCTAGGTATGTGCTAGGAGCTTCATTTGTTGTTGTTTACTCGCTAAGTCGTGTCTGACACTTTTGTAACTCTATGGGCTGTAGCCCACCAGGGTCGTGGGTCCACGGAATTTCCCAGGCAAGGATACTGGAGTGGGTTGCCATTTGTTCCTCCAAGGGATCTTCCCGACCCAGGGAACTAACTGCGTTGGCAGGTGGATTCTTTACCGCTGAGCCACCAGGAAAGCCCAGAAGCTTCATAGGTATTAATTATTGTATCCTCATAGTATTTTATGAAATAGGCCATTCTAATCTCCATTACATAATAAGAAAAATGAGGCTCAAGATCACACAAAAAGTTGCAGGGCTAGAATTTGAATCACATGCTTGGGTTAAAAGAAAAAAAAAGTCAAATGTCTTTTCAGCCAAGCCAGTGAAGTCAATGTGTGGATCAGCTCAGTCTTAAAGACTACAGAACTGTGGTTCGCAACCTTGGCTGTGCGCTGCAATCACCTGGGGAGATTGCCAGAAGGGTTCCACCCCCACAGATTGTGACTTAATAGGCCTGGGAGCTGCCCGGGTGATTTTAATGGGCAGTCAAAGTTAAGACACTCTTTATAGACACAGAAAATGGTGGGTGGCCCGAAAGTGTTTTTTCCTTAATTTTTAAGTTAGCCTAACATTGAGCTAATCAAAGGTTGTTACAACTGCCTCTGCCACCAGAGGTAACCTCTGCCCTACTCCTCAATATAATTAAGGAATATTATGGGTGCAAGATAGAGAGGCTAGGCTGGCAGACACAGACATTTGTTTTTAGTGGAGGGGGCATTGCGAAGTCTTGAACTTTCACCATATCACCCCCACCATTTCCTATTTATGAGACTGTTTTGACTCCAAAATGCACTTGGAGTTAGGTTTAATCTACTTTTAGAATAATGTCTAGTGTACAACCCATTATTAAACTGAAGATGACCCAAATATGTTCATTTAGCAAATGACACCTTCAGATTACATGACCAATCTAAAAGTTTTTCAACCAGCATTTTTTTTTTTTGGCCACTCATAATTAACTGATTTTAATCCAAGCCAGGTCAAGAGATCTCACATAGCTAAACAAGTCTGAAGATCTTACATAGCTAAACAAGTCTAATGTCCTAAAAACAAATCTCTGCTGGTTGTACATAGCACTGCCGAGTAAAATGTCATTTGTCATTGGAAAAGGGAAGAAAAGCTGCCTGACACCAGAACATCTTCATTAAATGGCCCGCAGATGTGAAATTTAAACTAAAATGCCACAGAAGTCAAGTGTGGAAAAAAAAAAAACTTTAAAGAAACTAATCTGAGTGGGAAATAATTCTTCACACAATCATATTGCAATGGCTGTAGCACCACAATTCAAAAGGAAATAGCAAAAGAGTAAATTAAGAAATGGACTGTAAGGTCACTCATTCAAACTGGCTACAACATTTTTTTTTTTTCATCTCCTGCAGCAAAGCAACCGCTATGCACTATAATGGTCTTGGATACCAAGTACTACCCCTCTCCCCCACTACCACCACCAAAAGAAGGCAAATAAAAGGAGAAAAGACACTGAGCCTGATCTTCTAAATAGAATAGTGCAAATAAAGGCCACGACTCAGAAATCGGGACCTCCTCAGTCAATGAGTTCCAGTGCTAGGAATTGAGGCATATGTGGTGCTTGGGTTAAATATTTCACTGTTGTTACGTGGGCTGTTTCAAAAAAGCAGACAGGGAAATGAAATCTGAGAAAGCAAACAAAAGTGCTTGGAACTACTTTTCTTACCACAGTTAATTTTTGTTTGTTAAGTGAATAAATGAATACACTGACCCTCCCTCAGGGTCAGATATTGTGCACTGCTGAGGGTGTTTTGGTGAACATGATAGCACCTGCTCGCTTGAGTCTCCTGAACTAAAAGAACAAGGTACCAACCTTGTCCCATCCACCATATACACCCTTCCTATCACGAGTGTGAAAATGCAGTCCTGCCATTGTACTCCTAAATGGCAAATATTGCCCTGGATCTAACTGCACTGAACTTCACCAGGAAACACTAGTGTTTTCTAAGTAAATAAATAAATACCCATGCTTTGCAAACCAACAGTAATTCATGGGTAAATTTCAACACATTATACAGAAAAAAAAAACTTTTTAACCTAAGGCTGAATCAAAACAGATTTTCCTTTTGAAACAAACCCAGCTCACATATTTTCATTGCCTGTGGTGACATAGCTTTAGTAAGCTAAAAATACTTCCTTTACTTCTAAACTGGGAAAAACAAATAAGACCCAGAAGAAGCTGTGGATCTTTTTTTATTATTATTATTTTTTCACTAGAGAGAACATTCAAAATAGCTAAGTCTTGAAAAGGCATCTGTTTTACATTTGTATAAATACACACTGACAGAAACCAGCCATGCAGCTTGTATCTTCCTCGTAATGTGAAATAAGCTCTATTTGCATTATCAGCAAAGACTGTCAACATTTCACTACTCACAGCCTTTACCATTATTACTTGTTTTGGTTAGGGAGAGGGCTGCATGAGTGTTGAAAACTAACCGGGAGTACAAGAAAAAGCTTTCAAAAAATATTTACAGGATGACGCTGCTCTTAACAAGGCCACCTGGTTCTGAATTTGCAGTCACGCATCATTTATGTGCCTGAAATTTACATTAAATGGGATTCTAAAATAGAAGAATAGGAGCTTAAGTCATTCTGCAGGTCTTGCTCACATTGGGTGTGCTGTGTATTTGGCAAAGTGAAAAACCAGGTACCTCCTCTTGCGCTTCTCAAGGCTAACTGTAACGTACAGACACACGCACACACCTGCACCCACCCCCCCCCCTCTGGGACAAACTAAAAGTTAATTAGGAAAACAATTCAACCTTTTAAAAGAATTTTTCCAAAATTCTTTTTGCAGGATGGCGAACAGTAGTGTGGACTTCCCCCAACACATTGAACATCTCTAAAGTCACACTACCGAGTTAGCAGAAATAAGATACTAAGCAAGTATCTTTCAAATAGGGCATTAGTTCGGACCACTGACTCAGGCTTAATTTCCTTGGGGGAAAAACAGCAGAGTTTGAGAAGCCTCGGGCAATCTGCCCATTTCTTAGACTACTGACAAAGTCATCTGAAAAGCAAATACCCAGAAACCAGAAAACCAAGCTCCTCCGGATGCGCTGGCAGAGCGGAGGCAGGGATCCTGGTCTGTCTGCCTAGATGGCAGCTGGGCCTTCTGACAATTGACAAGTGCTGGGGTCACAGACTCAGAGTGCACCCGCCCATCCCATCGCCCAGGGGGACCCGGGTTGTGCTGCCAATTTCAAAAGTAACCGCCGGAGGATGGGGAGGTGTCATCTCCTCTGACACTCCGGGGTCCGGAGGGGCTCGCCTCTGCTGTCCCTGAAGGTCAGAGGTGGCGGCGCCCGCAGGGCCAACGGCTCGCCAAAGCCACTTTTCCAGCCAGGGCTGGAGGCGCGGGGCGAACTTGGCCACTGGCCGCGCGCATCCCGTTAACCGTACCTTGTAACTGGGCGGAAAGGGACTCCTGGTGCTGCTGGTACTTGAGCGCCACCGCCTCGGCTTTCCGCAGCTGCGTCTGCAGCTCGTAGTAGAGCATCGCGCCATAGAGAAAGCCGAACACCACGGTTAGCAGCAGCAGCGTCTGGAAGATCCGCTTCTGCTTTCGGGAGCACATCCCGTTTCCCATAGTCCCGCCGGGGCCCCGCGCCGCGGCCGTCCGCGCCGCCGCCGTGCCTTCCTCCTCTTGGCCCGAGCAAGGGCCTCAACAGCGGCCGCCGAAGGAGGTGGCCGGACGCAGCATGAGGAGGAGACGCGAGACACAAAAGCCGGGCCGGAGGGGAAGTGGCGCCCGCTCAGCCCCCGCGCGCCGCGGGGCGCGCAGCCATCGACGCCGCCGAGGCAGCCGCCGCCGCCGCCAAACTTTTGCTAGGCTGACTCTCCGCGAGTGCCCGGGCCCGGGAGGGGGCCCTCCGCATACTTTCCGGCGGGCTGTTCTCGCGCCGGTCCCCAGACGCCGCCTGCCTCTCTCCTTCCTCCCCACTTGGTGGCCCGGCTGCCCCCGGCGGCGCTCCGAGTCCCGCCCCGGCCGCTCCCCGCCCCCTCGCGGTGGCTCCCACTGCGCGACTTTGTGGCCACCAAAAGGAGGGGGTGCGCGCCCAACAAAGGGAGCCGGACTCCAGGCAGCCTCTCGGCGCGCGGCCCGCGGGGGTGAGTAGCTGGGTGGGCGACCGGCTGCCCCGGCCGAGTTTGGGGGACCGCGGGCCGGTGTCACTGACGGCGCAGCCGAACCTCGGCGGCCGCCGCCTCCCACCCAACTTACGTGTCACCCACGGCCCCGCTATTTTGGCCAACGGGATTCCGGGAGGAAGTCCCACTCGGGCTCCCCGCTCATTGGGCCTGTCGGAGCCGCCGCTCCCTCCCTTCGGGGAGGCAGTCCCGGGCTCGATTGGACGCCCGCTTTGTCCGTCCGACCCCTGAGCCGCGCCCTCCCTCGAGCTCCCGGTTGAGCCGAAGGGCTTCTAGGGCAGCCGGGCCGCCTGGCGCCGGGTTACGCCCACGTGGAGTGCGGGTGATGGGAAGAGGCCGTGGATCCAGCCGCAGGGAGGTTGGGGTGCACGAGAGGCGAGTCCCGGCTGGCGCCTGGGAGAGAGACGGTGTGTGTGTGTGTGTGAGAGTGTGTGTGCGCGCGCGCGTGGAAGCGTATCTGTGATCCTGCACTTGGAAAGCACGTGGGGGAGGAATACAGTGTATGAAGTGGGCGAGATGAATGGGAACAACCGTGTACTCTGCCCAGAGCACCTTTCCTTCTTTCCCTGTCCAGTGGGCAGATGCGGCAGACACACACCGCTAAATGACCACAGTTTTCTTGTGAACCAGAGATGCCTTGCCTCCTGAGTCTTGGCCCATTCCGTGTCCTAGCGCGTCCCCACAGGTCACTGGTCTGGTCACTGGTCCCCACTGGTCACTGGTCCCCAAAGATCACTGGTCTGGAGACTTATGAGCACGCTATGGTGGTAGACTTACCGCTCCACTGTCCACGTGGGTTGGGGAAACCAGCTTGTCTTTGGCAGAAGGGAAAGAAATGATCTCATGTTTTTCTCCTGGCTGCGAACAGAATAATTTGAAAACAAATCTTAGAGGCTGAAATGAGTATGCATTCATGTTGTCATATGTATTGGTTTTATTAGTGGCAAAAAATACATCAGTTACACTGCTAAGTTGCATTTTAAAGACCAATAAGATTCCGTATGTAAAAAAACAAGTAAAACAAACATAATAACTACAAACCTCTTCAGAGAAAATCCATAGCACATTTGTTGTGAGTTCTTGAAGGGAAAGAAAATTGAGTGTATGCATAACTGATAATTTTGCCTTTGCTCTTGACCTAAATTCTAAAAAAGTAAATTATTTCTCGAATGCCTTAGTAGTGTGATTTATCACATACTGCATAATTTTTGAGATACTTTAACCAGATTTTAGTCACCACGGTCAATAATAGCCAGCGAGTCCTCAAAATGAGAGTAGATCTGTTTAGCCACAACTACTGCTTAAGGACAGGCTCCGTGCAGAAATTTTTTAGGTGGGCTCTGATGTTAAAAGCCATAAAATAAACCGAATTTACAATCTAGCTAGTCTGAGGGCTTCCCTATGGCTCAGATGGTAAATAATCTGCCTGCAATGCAGGAGAACCGGCTTTGATCCTTGGGTCAGAAAGATCCCTTGCAGGAGGGCATGGCAACCCACTCCAGGACTCTTGCCTGGAGAATCCCATAGACAGAGGAGCCTGGTGGGCTGCCGTCCATAGCGTCGCACAGAGTCAGACACCACTGAAGCGGCTTAGCAGCAGCAGCCTGTGATGTTCATACTATGGTGAAAACTCAGTGAGCCTGACTTGTGCTTTTCCCTAATAAATGAAAACTTATATTATTTTTTTTAATGCTTTTATTTATAAACATACTATCTTACCTATCACAGCCAGGTTAAATATTTGCTTCACATATTGGTAAATAAACAAAGCTTATCAAAGTACTGTGATAGCTCTAGAACCTTCTAGAAAGCTAGGAGCACAACAGGATCATAATCCAGGTCAGAACCCTGCCCTTTCCATCTCTTTCTCCTATAGAAGCCATATGCTCATTCTTTTTAAATAAGTTATATTAGCAGATGATATCTGGTCCATTAGAGTGAGAACCTAATTTAAAGACAAAAAGATCTAAAGTTTCAGTGTTTTGTCCTGTCATGCAAATATTAAGTAGGCTTACTTGTTTTTGAATCTACCATGTTTAAATCTACAGTGTTTAAATTTCATTCTTTCAATGTGACTCTTGAGATTGAAAGCAGACTGGATAATTGCTGCGACCTTGTCAGAATTCCTCATAACTAAAAATTCCTTACCATTGTCAGTGTACAATTTGTTAAACAAACTCTTCCTCCAAAAAACTACCTAAACTGCTCTGGAAGAAATTAAGTTTTATAGCAACAATCCTGGCCCATACATGAATAGATAATTATCCTAGCCACAAAAGAAAAAGAAACTGTATAGACAGTTGGAAAATTATTGCTCATATACTACACAGTATGCAATATTTGGTTGGTTTTCAAAATCTTTGGAAAATTCCTCTGCTTCCAGAATATATGATTACTCATTTTAAACCTCTGATTTCTTCCCAGAGTCTTATTTCTAACTGCAAAGGTATTCTTTGCCTAAAGCTGCTGGCTGACTTTACAGAATATAATAAATGTAAGTCATAAAACACAACTCAATATTTTAGTCGTAAAATTTGAAAGAGAACAAAAATTATTACCTGAACTTATCCATTATTTCAAATTCAAGAAGGTTATGTAGAAGTACATAAAATCACTAATGGCAGTGTCTTTATAGTATTACTTTTCCAAGGTGAAGTGTGCTGCTAGTTTCTTGAAAATATCAGTGTAGAGCTTTTCAAAGGCCATTATTGGGGAAGCTATTCAAGGCTTATAAATTGAATTTACATAACTCTGCCTTTAGGTAGAGCTATTCATATTGGTCTTGCTAGATATGTTGTAAGTTCTATTTTGTTTCTGTTTCTCTAGCATTTAAAAATGGTATTTTATAATTATATTTCTATATGCCATATATTTAACAATATGAATAATTTCAAAATTGTAAATCTAGAGGAATTTCATGAAGTTAATATTTTATTCCTAAAAGTGGAAGAAATTCAAGAGATTCAAGATCTTAAATTTGAGAAGGTCAAAGGCAACATTCGAGCTTCCCTGGTAGCTCAGCTGGTAAAGAATCCACCTGCAATGTGGGAGACCTGGGTTCGATCCCTGGGTTGGGAAGATCCCCTGGAGGCAGGCATGGCAGCCCACGCCAGTATTCTTGCCTGGAGAATCCCCACTGACATGGGAGCCCGGCAGACTACAGTCCATAGGGTCACAGAGAGTTGGATGGCACTTAGGACAGACAGATGGAAGCAACATTTGGGAACCTTAGTATTCTCTCCAGTAAATTTATCATTTTTATAAAGTTTGTTACTTTTCAAAATAGGGAAAGGCAAGAAAATTATAGGTGAGACATATAGCTAATTTATAAAAATTGTTATTGTTTAGTTGCTAGACAAAACAAGACTTTTTGCGATCCCATGGATTGTAGCCTGCCAGGTTCCTCTGTACATGGGATTTCCCAGACAAGAATACTGGAGTTGGTTGCTGTGTCCTTCTCCAGGAGATCTTCCCCACCCAGGGATTGAACCTACATCTTCTGCATTGGCAGGCAAATTCTGTACCACTGAGCCGCTAGGGAAGCCCAAGTTTTAAAAACTGCTGACTTTAAATTAATAATGGTCAGGATCCTAGAGTAAATTTTTTATTTAAACCTCTTTACAAATTGAGAAATCCTCACCTCAATCTCAATAAAGTGGCTATAGACACAAATTCCCAAAGAAAGGCAATGCCAAAGAATGCTCAAACTACCGCACAATTGCACTCATCTCACACGCTAGTAAAATGATGCTTAAAATTCTCCAAGCCAGGCTTCACGTGAACCGTGAACTTCCAGATGTTCAAACTGGTTTTAGAAAAGGCAGAGGAACGAGAGATCAAATTGCCAACATCTGCTGGATCATCAAAAAAGCAAGAGAGTTCCAGAAAGACATGTATTTCTGCTTTATTGACTATGACAAAGCCTTTGACTGTGTGGATCACAATAAACTGTGGAAAATTCTGAAAGAGATGGGAATACCAGACCACCTGACCTGCCTCTTGAGAAATCTGTATGCAGGTCAAGAAGCAACAGTTAGAACTGGACATGGAACAACAGACTGGTTCCAAATAGGAAAAGGAGTACGTCAAGGCTGTATATTGTCACCCTGCTTATTTAACTTATATGCAGAGTACATCATGAGAAACGCTGGCCTGGAGGAAGCACAAGCTGGAATCAAGATTGCTGGGAGAAATATCAATAACCTCAGATGTGCAGATGACACCGCCCTTATGGCAGAAAGTGAAGAAGAACTAAAGAGCCTCTTGATGAAAGTGAAAGAGGAGAGTGAAATAGTTAGCTTAAAGCTCAACATTGAGAAAACTAAGATCATGGCATCTGGTCCCATCACTTCATGGCGAATAGATGGGGAAACAGTGGAAACTGGCTGACTTTATTTTTCTGGGCTCCAAAATCACTGTAGATGGTGATTGCAGCCATGA